AACGTTGTGGTGATAACCCATCTGGTGTTATTGTTTTTCCTTGTCAACATTTGGTAGTAATCTCTTTGTCATATGATACGGACAAGATGTCCATTAAGATACATTACTATAGTGAGGTGACTTGATGGTTGTGTCCTGAGATTAGCAGTGCGAAGGATAGTCAGGAAGCATGTGGGGCATACTGCTTCCTGCTCTTTGTGCTACAGTGTTTGTCACCACTATCAGGGATGCTTCTTAACTCCGGCGTCTCTTTAAATCTGGTTCCCTGATGACAAGCTGAGCATCATTCCATTTCATCATATATCCATTGATGTTCCTATGAATCATCCAAGCATTACTTTGTTAATATGTTGCTACACACGTATTTATGTTCGTTGATCCTCATAGATTTGCAGTCTCCACATGTATTTCTTATTACGAGTTGCACAGGATAGTGTAGACACCAGTGGTAGATACTGGGGAAGTGGCAGTGGGCACTTTCTGGTGAAATCTTTGATGATACTGTTGGTAAGCAGTCTGAGGGTGTTGTTTGACACATCACCACAGGGAAAGACTAAGTACAGATTTGTGGTGTGTTCCGAAGGTGCTGTGTTCAAGATGGTATAGGTTCTTCATGAAGAGTCATGGATGAAGAACGTGGGGAAGTAAAGACGTGTGATGGCTTTAAAAAGTTAGGAGCGTTCTTTCTCGAGGAAAGCAAGACTAGATATATGCAGAACTTTCGAAAAGAATCGAATCACTGCTATCTGCCTGGTGTCCTTGGTGCACTTGCGAGGTGTAACAACCTCGTGACCACGATAACTACAATTTCATTCAAAGTTCTCACCAGAAAGTGGCTTACTACCTTTCGTCGGTATTTCCAGCTGATGTCTAAACTGTCCTGTGCAGACACAGGACAGCTTAGACTGTAATGTCTGGGTGATACATTGAAACATTGAGAGGCATTTGATGGAATGCAGCAAAGCCCAGCTTGTCATCAAAGAACTGGGTTTAAGAAGTTGACGGTGATTTGTAAAGACAGCAGAAAGTTGGTCCACGTACTTCTTACACTCCTCCCTCCTCACCTAGAACGTCAGACATCAGGTGACCTCACTACCGTTCACCTTACCTAGCCCTCCCATATACCTTGAGTACATAAACCTATGTTTCTCATGTGAAACATTTCCACAATGCCTTAAATGGTTAGCTTCGAGAAAGACTTACCTTGTATCGTCCAGTAGGTCTGTCGCAGTATTCCTCCATTCTTATGTTCTGATGTCTGTATCCACAACATTTATATCTTCGCTTCCTCTGCAGATATTTCAGTAGCCTTCATTTAAACTCTCTGTCTGGAGTTAATATTCACTCCATTTACAATAACTTATGTAAACACACACATTGAACTTTTATATTTAGTACCTCACAGATTTCCTCCTCTACTTCACTGATTCTACCATCAGCCTTTGTACTTCGTATTTTTTCTTTTGCATTTCATTTTTTTTACACAGGACTTGACAAGACTAGGCTAAGGATTCCTAACTTTATTAACAAGCTAAGAGCTGTTACTTACACCAGCTCATTTGAAAGCATTTTTATTGTTATGAGACATGCTAGTAGGGAACAGGATACAGTTGGAGCCATCTGTAGGCCAGCATTTTCATATGATCAACTGACTTTATCTCGTTGACATCATAATGCTGTACGAATGTACAAATGCGTCCACCTTGATCTCCTTCATTAGTTTATATTTTAGTTTTCTTACTCCTTTTATTATTTAATTTTCTGGACTGTTTAATCTCTCATAAATTTATTGACTGATCTGCTTATAATATTGATTTCGTATCATTCCTTTTTTCATATTTCTATAGTGCCTTCCATTAACCAACTTTTCATTATTATTTTATCCTAAATTAATTTTGGGGAATGCTCGTATTTACATAAACTTCAGTTTTAAGTTTCATGCACAAGCTCTTCCCTCCCTCTCCTAGCTTGATTGATTACGAAAGGTTTATTTTAGTTCCTGCTGCTATCCCGCGCCTTGACGAGCGGAGACCTGTGTATGGGCGCTTCAGATAGTGTTTTCTCTCAGGTTTGTAGCTCGGCTAGCATTTCCCGCTCCTGCTGGAGTCCTCGGGATCTTTCATTCCCCAGTTTTCCTTTCACAGTGGATTGATTCATTCGTTATTTTTTGAGTCAGTTATGTTTTATATTACGCGTCTGAACTGTAGTATCGCCAGGCCTCTGGAAAGACAGTGATAATGTGAGTGATGGTGAATGTGTTTCCTCTTTCTCGGAAGACGGCCGCCGAGTTAAAACAAATCCCTTAAAAATTTTACATTGGTGAACAAAATTTTTAATACTTCTGGAAAGTAATTATTCATGTAGTTTAGAAATTTTATCAGAGTAAAAAGTTATCTATGGCACATCATTCCCTAAAATAAAAAGCAAACAAAGCTCTCAAGGTATACACACTGAGAGGTATATACACTTCTCGGTGTATATATCCTGGGGTCATCAAAGAAATAAAATTAATAAAAAAGTTTTAGACATAAAAATTTATAATTTTATGTCCTCATAGACAAGCGGTAACTCTTTTTAAGCAAAAATCACCATCTAGTTCAGTAGCCTACCTAGTCTCAGACTGAGCCGCGGGGGCGTTGACCCCTGAAACCCTCTCCAGGTAAACTCCAGGTAAACCTCATTATATTTCTTAATATCGAGGGCACTCTTATAATGAGCTTTTATGAAAGCTTTTAATAAACAAGACTGAGTCCTACGTATTTTTTCCCACGTAATACATGTATTTGTTACTGTGAATGTAGCACCACAGATTAGACATACAAAATCTTGCTTACTTAAGGCATCTTGGTTATCACATACGTACTGTAATATTCGCTGCATCATTTACTGTAAAATATCGTTTCCTGATAATATTTGTATTATCAGTTAACTAGACAGGCTTGTAATTCAGAACATCTCGTTTTATCAGATTGGTACAATATTTTCCATTAATAACCAAACGTCAGAGTATCGTGAGTAGAACAATACACAAATAACAAGCACATAGGAGATGGAAGCTTATGGTGACGTTTCGGTCTGATTAGGACCGAAATGTTGTAGAAAGTTTCGCTCTTCTATGTGCAGGTTATTGTGTTATTTTTGCCATTTCTTATTTTCCAGGTGTTGCGACCCCTGAACAGGACGCCATGTATATTCTGGATATATTTAATATTCTGGATATATTTAATTTTCATACAATTTTATATTGTAGATGCTTTCATTAGTAGCTAAAATGAAAACATCTTGCTTTCTATTATTATTTGACTAAGTTATGTAAGTAGGTAGGATTTGCTTAGTTATTCACTGGGGTAGCTGTAAGCCACGTTGTCACACCCGATGCTGAAGCTGCAGCGTCTGCCTCACATAATTACCTCGTTGCCTCTCTTAGGAGTCACATCGAGCACTCCCTCCCTCTTTCTCTTTCTCATTTTGGCTGCTGATTCGTGGTGACAGCAAGCTTAGCCTGCCCTGTCACCTCTTTTGTGTTATACTCTGGTTTGTGTCTAGTCCGTCTTCGTGGGCGAGACAGAATGTACTATTCGTCACTCTGTGAAACACCATCTTTGGAAGGACTTACCTGGAGTTTACCTTGAGAGGGTTTCGGGGGTCAACACTCCTCTGCGGCTTGGTCTGAGACCAGGCCTCATGGTGGATCAGGATCTGATCAACCAGGCTGTTACTGCTGGCCGAACGCAAACTGACGTAAGAACCACAGCCACTTGCTGTCACTATAAGTCTAAGCAAAGTATCATGGGGACATTACTAGATCTGAGCTTAAAGCCTTATTCCCACTTAATTGTATATCGTTATATTAATCTTTAATCTTTTCATGGTATCTACTAGTCGGTAATTTGAGAATCTTAGTTACTGAAGATATACCAAGATGGAGCTTGACTCATTATTTATGTCAAATATTTTAGCTTTGTAAATATATACCTCTGAACAACTTTCCTAGTAAAAATCTTAAATTTTATCTATTTGGTTTGTGATCCCGAATTCTTATATTACAACTAATTGTTACAAACCATACCACGAGTGGGGCTTGAACTCGCGGTTAGAGAGTCGTTAAACTCCAAACCAACGCGTTTGCCCAGTAGCTAACGCGTCGGTCTGGAGTTCTACGACTCTCTAACCGCGAGTTCAATCCCCGTCCGTGGTATGGTTTGTTTGCAATTGTGTCATTACGATTTCGTGAGTCGTCTTGTTACAAAACGAGAAACATGCCAGCTGTTAGAGGGGAAGATCACTTATTTGACCCTCTAGCTTGCTCTGGAGACGTCTGTGATACACGGTGTTTTTTGTAACATCAGACATTTAAGAAATGACCCTTGTCGACGATGTTGCAAACATAATCCAGTGTGGATAAGTGACCCCCACATATTCCTTTAAACCACAAGCGGTATACAGTCTGATTCTTTTATTTATTTATTAATAATCTCTTGATTTTCTTTCATGTTTTATCGATGGTATCTTCCAGTTGTCAGTTGGGATCCTAACACGTCAGCCTGAAGATTCTTTCCATCAATAGATATATTCTGAAGCTTCATATTCAACACTACAAACGTTTCGTCTTCTGAATCAATCGCCTTTTTTTCCATCGGATATCCTTGAAGTCTTATTGGTCATTTGTAACCAATATTTATCGCCATTGTCAACGGAAGTGTTTGTCTCTGTTACACTTGTGTTATACATGTTATTAACCTTTCTTCTTTCTTACAGTAGTGTACTTGTGTATAACTTAAAAGGAATATTGTTTTGGAGATTAGATTGGTTTTTATATTACTATAAAGCTTTTCAATACTAAACCCATTCGAGTATTTTCTTTTTGTGTGAAAGAGAGAGAGAGAGAAATAATATTACCCTTTAATAGTGTTTATTAATTTAAATAGTATTTAAGTTAACAAATCTCGGGAATTTTTTTAAATATTACTAATATTTTTATTATTACAAAAAAGCCAGTATGGATGAAGCTGTTGATGGTGGGATGACCAGTTTTACATTACCTCGGGAAGAAAACTATGTATAAACTGCTTCACTGAGATTACTGCTGAGTGACCTGTAACAGGAGACGTAACAGTGACGCTAAGTGAAACGTAGACCAGAGAGAAAAACTGAGTGACGATAAGCGAAGATGTGTTAGAGGTGGAGAGAATGTTGAGGTAGTGGTGGAGGGGAGAATATTAAAGTAGTGGTGGAGGGAAGAATGTTGAAGTAGTGGTGGGGAGAAGAAAATTGAGGAGGTTGAGTGGAATAGAATGACAAGAGTTCGAGTAAAATGAGGGAGAAGAGAAGAAGAAAAAAGAGGATGAAGTCGAACAGAAGAAACAGAAGGAAAGGAATAAGGAAAGGAGAAGCTGTGGGGAGGAAAAGGAAGAAGAGGTGTACGAGAAGGAACGGAAGAAGCAGCAGGTGAGTAAAGAATGAAGAATAGGAAGAAGAGGAATTAAAGTAACTGGAGAACCTGCAGGGGAGGAGAGTGAGGAGAAGGAAGATGAAGAGAAGGAAAGGGAGAAGGAGGAGGAGGGGAAAGAAAAACAGGAGAAATAATAGGGGAGAAGGAGGGCAGGATAAGATGAGTAGGAAGAAGAGGAGGAAGAGAGGACATCACTTAAAAACAAAAGATTGAGCACAAGCCAAGAATAAATGATGTTGATGCTGTCAGCTGTTGCTTCTAGTGACGGTATCAGCTGTTGCTTCTAGTGACGGTGTCAGCTGTTGCTTCTAGTTACGGTGTCAGCTGTTGCTTCTAGTTACGGTGTCAGCTGTTGCTTCTACTGACGGTGTCAGCTGTTGCTTCTGGTGACAGTGTCAGCTGTTGCTTCTAGTGACGGTGTCAGCTGTTGCTTGTGGTGACGGTGTCAGCTGTTGCTTGTGGTGACGGTGTCAGCTGTTGCTTGTGGTGACGGTGTCGGCTGTTGCTTCTGGTGACGGTGTCGGCTGTTGCTTCTGGTGACGGTGTCAGCTGTTGCTTCTAGTGACGGTGTCAGCTGTTGCTTCTGGTGGCGGTGTCAGCTGTTTTCTGGTGACGGTGTCAGCTGTCAAGAGTCAGATACCTTTATTATTGAATCGTATTTGTTTTATTATTAAAATGAAAGGAAATAAAATCACGTTAAAGGGGATATTTTATTGTCATAACAAATGAAGTGGTGACAGCAGCGTGAGGCTGGGGTCACACCTGGTCACACTAGGTGACACGAGGTCACATCAGGTTGTGTCGTGGAACACCGGGTTAAACACCCCCTCTTTGTAAACATTATTAATAAGAACAGAGAACGGCACTCCCCGTATTTATAAAAACGTTGTGTCAAAACAGATGTAGGAAGAGATTTGGCTGCGGCGTGAATTCACACCAGGTCACATCAGATCACGTCAGGGCACGTCATGGCACACCTGGTCAAACACATCACGTGTAAACATTATTAACAGGAGCAGGGAACGGTGCGCCCCATTGTCATGGTGCTCTGGAGAGTAGTTGGGCGCTATCGTTAAAACTTTACACTCTCTCTCCTCTCACATAAACATTGTGTTTAACAACATAATGTTACCCTCTTGTTATTAGCATTATGGACAGAGCACGCGTGGAGTACACTGTAGCTCCACTACCACTTTTCTAAGTGCTAATGTGTGCAGATCTCAAATCGTGTAAAATTATTGTATGATAATATTGGGAAAGCACTAGATTTCACAAATAACCTGACGACTTACAGGTTAGTATGATACTAGTATGATACTAGTATCATACTAGTTTTCAAACTGGGGTCCTTGAAAAGATTTTTAAGGGGTCCTCCCTGGGTTATGAAATTTTTTACAATTTACAAGAATATCTTGGAATTTAAAATACCGTATTTTCCATCATATAAGGCGCGGCTTTTCTCCCATGAAAGGCTTTGGATAATCATCGTATAAAATCTTCTTTGATCCTTAAGGTCAGGGTCAAGGGTACGCTTTGGGTCACGTTTTAGCGTAAAGGAAGAGGGGTAATTAGCCCTGGAAAATATGATTTTTGATTTACTGCTATGATACGTCTGTCGTGCGTCTTATATGCCGGAAAATACGGTATATAAATAAACAGGCATTAAGCGGGCATCGCTGCTGCCTCAGAGGCAGCAATGCCCAACGGATCTCATTGGGACATGAACTTGAATGGGCATCACTGGCTATTTGGAAAGATCTCAGTCAACCATTTCATTTTATCACTAGGCATTGTTCTGATGCTGGGTTAGTGTCTGTTGCTTATATTAAATAATAAATTTTACATACAATACGGGTGAACAAGATAGATTTACTGTATAAGTTATGTTTTGTCCATCTCATTTTCAACGTCTCGACAGTTGCATTTATTTATTTTTGATTAGCAAGAAGGAATTGTCTTTACTTTTTGTTTTATTTTCTTAGGTTATTATGTCTTTGATGAGTAAGACTCATGAGTAGCAGTTGGATATCTTCATTGTTAAAACGTTT